ACGCGTTTAGCGTGCATTTAGACATGTCCATATATCATGTGACTGCTTTTCCTGAACGCCTTGTTTCCTTGACACAGACTCAATCCTCCGATGGACGACTTCATTCCTCACACATCGTCAGGTACAATTGCGTTTCTCCGGCGGGGTCACCACCCAGAGAGAGCTGGTCTATGGAGTCCCCCAGGGATCACCAATTTCGCCATTACTATTCCTTCTGTATATGGCGGGGCCGATGCGAAGTGATACTCCTAGGGTGAGATTTAGCTACGCCGACGACATCGGTATTCTCGGGTTCGGCAGCACAATAGCTGAGTCTGTCGCTGCGGTACAAAGCGAGACAGATCATCTTCTCGAATGGGCGCGGAATAATGCTGTTGACTTTGACACGGAAAAATCTGAAGTAATTCAATTCCAAGCATGACGCCGAGAGGAAGCAATTCGTATTCATGTAAACGGAACCCTAATTGAGCCTGCGGAGAATATTCGCTGGTTAGGCGTGTATCTAGATCAACGACTCAACTTTAAACATCATATAACTACGTGGTGCGGTAAAGCAGTAAAAGCTGCCCAGCACATGCGCCGCTTCAACTCTTCCTTTCAGGAAGCAGTAACCGGGCCGTTAGCCAACGCAGTAGACATGCGCGTTGTCTCGCTAGCAACCATTGGATCTGATGTCTGGCGGCCAGGGTCCAAACGCCCAACCATACGAGGAATAGTCACGTCATCTGCCTCCAACCTCTGCAGCTTGATTGACCGAGCTAACCTGATGGGATTGCGGGCTGCACTTCCAGTAATGAGGACAACACCAAATGTAGTCCTTCATAGAGAAGGGGAAATCCCGCCGGCAAAAGTCATACTTGAGGGAAACCGGCTTCGACTATTGGCAAGGCTTAAGACCCTTGACGATCGACACCCTTTGAGGATCTGCGCTTCCGTGTGCCCGAATGTCGGCACCCGGAAATACAAAAAGTCTGCCAAGTCCTCAGCCAGACCAGAAATTCAGATGTCACGATTACAGCGTGCTTACCGAGAGCTTCCGGAAGCAGAAGCTCCTGAAAGTCTGACGCCGGTGGTTTACTTTAGGAAATCAGGCTCAAAGTTGATGGAACGCGAAGGTTGCGTTAGAAGGGCTAGCGACGTGCCAGGAACGGACATTTGTGCACACTCGGATGGGTCATCGGAAGGACATGGACGCTCCGCCTGGGGTATCGTTCTGAAAAAGGATGGCAAACTTATCGGCAAAGGAAGTGGCATCAAGCACGGGGGAGAGGTGCTGGATGCAGAGATAGTAGGAGCAAGGAAGGCTCTGGAGGCCGCACTGGAGTTCTTGGAGAACGAAAAGTGCAGGAAAGTAGGAGGGTCGCAGCTAATCCACGTGTTTCTAGACAGCCAGCAGGCTGTAAGGGCACTAACGACAGGCTCGTCCTCAACCAGCCTTGAAGATGTACGCAAATTCCGTGCGTTATCTAATAAGGCTGAAATATCAGTGAAGTGGGTTCCAGGGCATGCAGGAATCCTGGGAAATGAAGAGGTAGACGCCATTGCCCGTGCAGCACTTCGAGAATCGCTAGCCCGGATACGCAACCAGGATCCAGTACTCTGGCACATCTTCGAGGCCTCATGAATGGCAGACGGTAGAGATTGCTGGACAGTTAGTGGGAAGAGGCCTGTCCGCCTAAATACCGCCAACTCAATCTACAGGTGCGGAGACGCAAACCACCTGAACTGTCTCTCTCTAGGCACCTCCTCCGGGTACAAATCGCAGCACGAACGGGTCACGGCAATTTTGCGGCATACCATCGTCGTTTTAATAATCCACACGCTCCTATGGAGTGCTCTTGCGGGAAGGAAACTACTCCAACCCACTTCATCCACTGTAGCCGTCACGCACAACAGAATCGTAGGCTAAGAAAGTCAATGTCCCACGTTGACTTTATCAAAAAGCTTCTCGGGCCCAAGTGCCACGATAGCTTCAAAAAATTTGCGCAGGAAACCGGCTATTTTGATAGACGACCTGGCCACTCATCCACTGCTCTCAGCGGGGATCAGGTAAACTAGTCATTGCCACAACGCATGACACGAAAGGGAACGAGGCGAGAAGTGTCGTTTCTCTGAGGAAATTTTTCTGTACTTGGATTTAGGGTTGAAGGATGGAGTTTCGATTTCGGAGTCGGAGTAGGTGGTATCTTCTGAGTTATTATTTACCTTCTACTTTTTCTGTAGCGGGTCTCGCGGTTGGAATGAGTTGGGCCTGTAAGCAGTGATCCCCGCCGGCTCCACCAGTCTTGTACCTATAGTGGACCTAGAGCTTTAGCTTAGGACTTTAAAAAAAACAAAAAAAACAGAATCGTACAACTCTTTACTGAATCACTACGATCGATCGTGAAACCACCCCGTAGTAATTCCAACAGCATCAGATTTTAATTGCGTATACAGCTATCTAGCTATGACACAATATCAAAGAAAAGTACAGAATAGATGATTCAACGTAGAGGAAGAGCACTAATACCTCAGATTTCATTTGTAAGGATCACTGCGAAGTTATGGTGGCTTTTTCTTCACCCCAAGTCAACCCTCATCCGTAAATACCCACCCAGGGAAACATCTCAAAAACCCTGAGTTATCCAGGCATGCCTCCGTCATCCATCAACTTTTCTCCTCGCGAAATGTGATTTGAGGTGTCTCCTTCCCAAGTGGAGTAGGTGCCCAGGCTACTCAAACTATACCGGAGAACACCACCAGGAGGCGGACCACATCACCTTCCATCGTTTGCTTATTTTTAAAGTGTCAGCTGCACTCTCGCAAGCGAATTCTTGGCGCGCACAAAGCCCAATTCGAAAAACTCCTTGCCAACAATCGGAATTTCATGCGCTTCGAAATAATGCCCTTCCTTCGCATCATCTTGTCAACTTGTCCTGACTACTCTCACGTCCATCACAAAGAACTGTCTCCCAGAATTGTGCGCAACGCTTTGTTTCGTCCTTCGGATATGAATATCGGCGTGGGCGTGTATTTGGCGACCAGCTGAGGCCAGAGAGTAGTCGATGAAAGGTGTGGTCATTGGAATGAGGATGTACTAGGTCGTACTTGTAGACTTTATGAGACTTAAGTAGAAATCAAACTCGTTGGGAGCGAAAAAACGACGTGGAGGAGTAATTTGAATCACTGCCCCGTGGGCCAACTTCTTTGATGTTGCGAAATTTGACTGAACTTGGCTCTGGGAGAGTATTTCACTCCCAGGTTCGTACAAAACACCGCGTACAGGTATTCATTCTTGCCCTCCAACCCAAGCAGTCTACTTCACACGTTTAAACATACAAAAGATACGAAGGTTCCAATAATCCCTGCTTGGGCTGTCGGGGTGTCAAATCAGGATGATTGGAAATACTACATATGTTCATGCTCGGATCGTCTTTAAAGTCTTCATAATTGCTATTGCCAGTCCTATGTCACAGACTCCTTATACGTCGTATGACTGTTTAAATGGAGCCGAATTTACTGAGAGAGAGAGGTGTGTTTATTGTACTACTTGAGTTTATGACTGTAAGACTTTGAGCTCCTCTCCAGCCCTGGCCACACATTGAGTATTGATCCTATCCTGTTTTGTTGCTTGAAGGATCATTGATATATTGCCTGTGATGAATAGCCACTTAGCTCAATATCTACCCAAGGAATTTAGCCACCTTTTCCACGGAACCTCCTACCCAAAAAAACAAAATGGTAGCAATGGAAACTGCGTGCGTAGGAAGAAGTCTCAAAAAACCTGCATCCCCAGTCAGGCTAGGCCTAGACACCGGGACCATACTAGGTGCACATATTCATCTATATCTCCCTTATTTGTAACATTAGAAGCTATCTTGATCCAATTATCTCCGTATCGGGTGCTGGGTACGCTCCGGAAACTCATCGGATGGCATCTCCTCCATGATCAAGGGTTGGTGATGAGAAGGGCTCCAACCCTACCATCTAATCTGATCGTGATTAGCCTCATGATAATAGTGATGGAGGAATGTGTTGAGAGATGAAGACGATACAGACCGCGAAAGCGATTGGGAATCCTCACCGAAATGAGGACTTTGTTACCCAATCTCGGCTATGCAGAAACTACAGTGAGATCTGAAGGTTCGTAGGGAACAGCACCGATATGTGACGTAGATAATCCCATTTCGCTCAGTTTGTATTGAATAACCGTCGTGCTAGCAGCCCAAAGATAGCCCAAAATTTTCAAAAAAGTGAAGCGTAGCCACTGCGAAGCACCTTAGAAAGTTTTAAATCTTTTTAAGGGTCGACTGCCTTGACGAACCTTCTAGGTAATACCCTTCCAATCTTGAGTCCTTCATTCCAACCACTTCCAAAGCTTCCCCTACTCGGCATCTTTCCATTAATGACTCGCAGGCTTTAATTTATTCATAGAAATATTATACTGAGCAATCTAAGTTTGAAGTCTTCCGATAATTTACCGTCAACAGTATTGGACAAAAGGATCGTATGTTGTGTTGGGACTTTTTTCGGGATTAAATAGGAACTTGACATTGTCTGGTGTCGAGGGAGAATGTGATACTCAGATTGAAAAAAAATCGGCCTGAATGGTGCTAATTATTTCATTATGGTTAAGTTGTCGAGAGATCTCTGCAATTTGAGACTCTCGACCAAAATAAGTCGTGAATTATTCCTTCTGACATAAATATCAGTCGAGAATAATCGAGTCGACCATTGGAGAGTTCTTGTGTCTTTGCACTGGGGGGATATTACAGTCACAGGCTCATATAAGACGTTTCTTACAAAAGTTCAGCCTTCATCCTCCAATGATGGTTGATTACCAAATGGCGTTGTGGATGATTGTACATCGTATCACGTGGTAGGCACAGACTCGCACAAATCTTAACCGAGGTGGATTACCCACCAACAAGAATGGAATTCTAATTTCCACCGCAGCGACAGTTCGGAATTCCAACCACAACGACCACGACGGATCAATCTCCCCTCGTACTTCAAGAATAATGGCATCTGGAGTCCCAAACATAGTGATGTAAATATGGCCTATGTCAAACAAAAAAAAATTAAGAAATAAATCAACTAACGCAAACGTTTTTTAGTTCGAAGCGAAGAAAGTTTGTCGCCGACGGTGTTTTCTATGCCGAGTTAAATGAGTTCTTTCAGCGTGAACTCGCCGAAGAGGGTTACTCGGGAGTCGAGGTTCGAGTAACGCCAACCGTCACAGACATCATCATCCGGGCTACTCATACCCAAGAAGTTCTTGGTGAACAAGGACGCCGAATTCGCGAGCTCACATCCCTTATTCAAAAGCGCTTTAAATTCCCCGAAAATTCAGTTTCTCTCTACGCCGCCAAGGTGCAGAATCGTGGTCTTTCTGCTGTTGCTCAATGTGAGTCACTAAGATACAAACTGCTAAATGGGCTCGCTGTTCGGAGAGCGTGTTATGGTGTTCTTCGATTCATTATGGAGAGTGGTGCAAAGGGATGCGAAGTTGTTGTCTCTGGTAAATTACGTGCTGCTCGCGCGAAAAGTATGAAGTTTACCGACGGCTTCATGATCCACTCCGGTCAGCCTGCGGAGGATTTCATTGATTCAGCGACTCGACACGTTCTTTTACGACAAGGTGTTCTTGGGATCAAAGTCAAGATAATGCGAGGTTCGGATCCAGAAGGAAAAGCTGGGCCACAGAAAACTCTACCTGATTCTGTAACAATTATTGAACCAAAGGAAGAGCAAGTCATTCTGCAACCAGTAAGCACAGATTATGGGGCCAAGGCAGTCGCAGCCCAGGCAGCAGCAGAGGCAGCTATGGCATCGGAGCAGGTTGAGGAGTCTCACATCGAAGAATGATCGTCGCAATAACCCCTTGTAGTTAATAATTATCGGCGGTAAAATAGTTTTGATGATCGACCGCTCAAGATCTATTAATATCATAACAATAGACGAGCCATATCTGATTATTTACGCGTCTAGCTAAATATTCCACGTGAACTGACGTCTTACTACCCCCCCACCCTCCGAACCCGGCTTTCTTTATTTTTAGCCTGTGTATATTGGGATGTCGTTGTGGCCATATTATACAGAATGCCTCCACTGGCACATAAACCAAACGCCTAAGCACTGTGCAACCACAACTAGGGAGCTGCCGGATTTTTGGAGTCATTATTCTTGCACTTAGTTGTTGCCCAACACGCCACCATCGTTCATATTCTTGACATGAATCTAAAACCGCACAACGCCGAGCCGGTACGAAAATAATGTCAACTGGACGGTAGCCTTGCTATACGACCGGATTTGATGCTTTTCTTTTTCCCTTGTGTGCTGGTACTTCCATTTTGTTTCCTGCCGACGTGACCACTAAGGTGTCCGTTGGCACGACCAGGAGGGTTATCTTCATCACTTTCTTCATTTAGGTTTTGAAGCCCGAATCCAGAATTTTCAACGTCGTAAGCGTGGATGAGACTCTGACGATCACCCCTTGCATATTCGTTGCTATCAAGACTCATTCTGTGAAGGTCATCGCTGTGCCGAATCTGCATACTTCTTCTAGTTGATAATTGTGAAAGAGGATCGGTAGCTATACCTTCTTCACGGGCATTGCTTACCATCCTATGGCCATCTGGGTCGCCTCGAGACAAATTGAGCAGGTAAACACCTGTGAATATTACTAAAAATCCACATAGCAAGGATATTGTATTAACAGAGTCCGAGGTGTTAAATCCACCGTAAAGGATGAAAGATGCACATAGGGTTGCGGTAGTAAATGTAACATAGTAAAGAGGGTTCACACTGTGCAGATATTATTAGCATGTTACTGATATTTGATCTAGTTTGACTTACATTGAAGATGGAAATTGACTCAGGGCCTTGTTGAAATAATTCATTTGTGTAAGAATGCAAACTCCGGTAAGGATGATAAACACATATGTTGATGGATGTGTGAATTGATTTTTACCGGCAAGAGTCAGCTTCACGGCAATTCCAAATGCTTTCACTGACATGACTGAAACTGAGCCAACAGTAGAGCAAATTGAGAGGTAGATTAATGGATTTCTTTTCCCATGTACAGGCGCGACCCAATATATCATTATTGTGTTGAAGACTACCACCAGTAGACAGAATATTAAAAAACCTACGCCCTTATTAGGGCTTTCACAAGATGCCCAAGACTACCTTATGAACTCACCAGGTTGAATCGCATAGTGTAGAATTTCGTCGATAGTCTGTATGTCTTTGTCTGGAGGCGCATGCAGCACGATAATCACTGATCCTATGAGGCATATTGCACAGCCGAGTGTTCCTAAAATACCAAGAACCTCTTGTAAAAAATATGATCCTAATACCGCGCCGATTAGAACGCTTAGTGCACCCAGAGGTGTTACAAGGATGGCTGGCGCGAAGGCATATGCTGCGAAATTGGCAACTTCGCCAACGATTACTGTAGAGTTAGCAATTTATACAACATGGTTGCTCGGGGTTAGATACATGCTATGATTCCTGCCCACCATATTGGGCTTTTTAAGTATGTAAATCCATCACCTTCGAAGCCGTGCCTCTCTTCGGCGTCCATCAGTCCCTGGATGTAGTAAGTACTTGGCGACACTCTGTTTAGATCTAGCTAGAAGCTGGGTCAATCTTTGAATTACCTTTTTCGTAATAACAAAGCTGGTACCTATTATTGTATTAGAGCTATATCCACATGAGAGCACGAATACCTAGACCTACCAATTGCCATAGTAGACGTGATAGCTAGCGCTAATCCTATGTATCTGTATTACTTATCAGTCACTCGTAATTATTCTATTCCTTGCTTTCAAAACTTCCTTATCCAACGTACTTGTCTTCCAGCATCTTCGTGTTGATGAAGATATTATGCTCTTATACGATGCAAGTATGATAGGATTTTAATCAATAGCTTCCAGTTCTGTGATTCTTGAATTGTATTTTGATTCCCTACGCGATCGCAAATCTCTAAGAATGACGTGATCTATGTGAAGAGTTCCAGTCGCGGCACCGAGCTTGAATACCCTTTGATGAATCTTCCCTTGTTAGTAAGCTATTGTGAATCGAAGAAAACGTTCGAAATTTGCGACAATAACTATCGGATTTGTATTGTGGTGACCCTTGGGTCGCGCAAGGCTTGGTGGAATTGTAGTCTCGAGGAAAGGTAGTGTTGGTCTAATCCCTCCACAGCTGAAGAAAGGTTGGCGAGGAATGTAGCCCCAATGAAACCTAGAAAGAGTACATCACATCAAGCTCCCGCTCATAGAAGGACTCATTCAGTGAACAATTCGAGAATATTCATATTCGTAGGCCAGTGATGATGGTGATGATTCGTATGCTAGCTAGGATTACATCTGAGGACATGGACTTAGGGGATCGCTAGTCTGATGATTTGGCATACTATATTGCATAAACATGCCAGCTAATAATTTGTGCATAGAAGACACAGTTTCAAGAGTTCCCAAATCCAGTTTTAGCTTGCACCCCGTTACAAATCCATTCCATTCACGCCCTTTTCCGCAATAATAGAGTTCTTTATAAAACCACAACACCTGAATACTAAGGCGATAAACAATCCACCAAGATCTACAAATCCCTGTAACAGCTGTAGTCTTGGATACGATAATACTATTGAGCAAGAATTCATGTGCATGTACCTGCTAAATTTACCGATCCATTTTCCTGACTTTTCTCAAAGTCAACTATTGATACTGTTCTTCGAAGTATTGCTTCATGCCATAATATATGAACTGTTGAGCAGAGGGACGTCACGATACATCATACATGGGAAGGGGGTATAGTAGGAAGGCATTGTTAGCTTCTTTGACTTACTGTTATTATCCACCTAGCTTAAGGTTAGTATTCTTATTAATTTAGGCGCATTGCTGGATCGGACTGCTAAGGGCATTATCTGTTTCCACTTTAATCTGACTTGAGCCAGAAAATTAAAAGAGCAGGAAATCGAAGGATATTCCGTCTAGTTTAAACTGCGAATATCAGTGACGATTAAGCAATAGCTAATCATGGTCGTAGACGCTTAGAAACTGTGTTAGTGTTAGTACAGCGGATTCATAGATCTGGAGCCAGTGGCGCTAACCCTTTACTTCCTCAATTTTTTCCGCTCCATAGGATTCTCTAGATCTTTTCCCGATTGTTGGTGGTGATTTACTTTCCACATTCAGCGGATAATTAAGAGTAAGTAAATTTTCCGCATTAGACTTAGAAGACTCATGTTCAACTTCATCTTCGTCCTCATCATAGTCAATTTCATCTTCGTATCCGATGCTATCGCTAGACATAATCTCCTGCGGGTCTCCTACAGGACTGATGTAGGGTACTTCTCTAGACTCTTCAACACAAACATCTTCTAGTTTGAAGTTTTTATTAATTTCTATGCTTCCAGTTGACGCATCCTTATTCTTGACATCGTGATAGTCTATAACTGACCCGCTATCATTATCTGCCTCAGATCTGATTCGGTATTCTTGTGCGATGACATATCTACTAAGACCAAAGTTTTGGGTTTCGACGTCTACCTCCGGTGGCCCTCTTTGATATTCTCCGCCTGGTCCACTCTTTGTAATTTTTAGGTCATTAGCATCAACTAAACTGTTAATTTTAATATTACCATATACTTCTTCTGCAATGTCTGTTTCTTCTACTGCAGGAACATTATCATTTTTTTCAGAACAATCTTCTCTGTCGGAATCACCTTGAGTGACTTGTGATGGAATTTCTAGTCCATGACCACAGGGGCTTGTATTTGAGCTATCTAAAGGGCTGTGTTCTGGGGTCTGTCTCTCAGAAATATGTGAGTTAAGGGGGATATGATGATGATGATTATCAGGTGTATCGGGAAAAGTACTTTTCATTTCGGGTGGATCAGTTTCATGCATATAATTTGAAGTTATTCGATCATCTGAGCGATATACGGCACTTGTGTTTTGATCTGGAGCAGCCGCGCGCGTACTACTTGATGCGGAACTATCATCAAACTCATCCTCGGAGTAACCGATGGTGTCGCCATCATCTTCAATGCTACTTCTGAAGGCAGTTTTACTTTTTGATTCGGTGCATCCAATAACACTGTTTTCTGTATCAGGGGGGGGTTTACTTGATGGGTTTAAATTCATCTCTTCTTGGGGCCTTGACGGAGATGGAACACTTCCAGTCTCTATGTAGAATTCCTCTTCTCGTTCATGTCCACGGTTTTCGAGTAACTCAGGACTTTTGTCCGGGGAGAAATCATAATTTCTTGTCGGGCTTCCTGCAAATTGTTTATCAGTATGAAGGTTTTCTACCTTTTCCTCATCAATATTTTCGTCGTAAGAGCACTTTTCTCCATAGTACACTTCAGTACTGGCCTCATTAAAAATTGTATCTTCGGTATTTTGGCTATGATCGTTCCAGGCAGTTATCTCAGATAGACCCTTTCCATGGTTGGCATACAACGTTATCTTCGCCAGTCCCATTTTAAAACTTTTACGGATACCAAGGTCGATGTAGAAAGGCTCTTGTGATTCAATTCCGTCATTTAATAGTAGCTGATTACGTAGCTCAATAACCTGAGATAATGTCATATCTTGGGCTGATGTAGATCCCTAGTCACTAGATGTTAGACAGGGTAAACTCACAGTAATAGCGCCTTACTTCTTCTGTTTGGAGACCAAAGTCTGGAACTGAAATGAAGAGCTCATCTTCATGACTCAGATCATCATGAATGACGTCTCTAATTGCTTCAAAAAGCTTAGAAAGAGAGTTTTGAAGGATTGAACGATCTGTTAAAAAGAAAGAATTTGGATCATCAGAATCAAATGTTGAAAAGAGGGCATACTCGTTTGATTGATACAAGATAGTTACATCGTTAGATACGATTCTTCCTTGTGCACAACACGAGACTTGTTGACCAGAATCAAGAATTTTCGAGCTGTCTCTGTCTTCTGGTCTAACTTTAGCTTTTGTGGCACCTTGGTGGCTTTCTAATGCGGATGTTTGTGAGCCGGGGCTCATACCGCAGTTAGTGACTTTTGGATTAATTTTTTTGTAAGGGATCAATTGTTCTTCATCGTGTACAAGCGTAAAGTTTTCTTCTGAATTCTCTTCATTTTTACTATCAACTGTTCTTTTACTTATTTCTAACGGGTCTTCCTCAAAATTTTCCCTAGAATAGCAATTTTGAAAGTGTTCAGTCTTCAAGTCATCAACACCTTGGTATTGCGCGGTATCTCTGGGAATCTTAGGATTAGTGACCTTCGTGGAGTCTCCAAGAGGCGTTTTGGGATCAACTTCATTATGACTTTGGATTTCAATTGAATCTCTGGGCGTCTCACAATCAAGGGGAGCTTCAGAGTCCTTATCAGGCGATTCTGCATTAGCATCATCGGGACAATTGTGTTTAGCAGAATCTCTGGGAATCTCACAAACAAGAAGCTTTTTGGAGTCCTTGTGAGGTATTTCTGTATCAGGGTCATCGGGAGAATGGCGTGCAGAAGAATCTCTGAAAATCTTAGATTCAAAGAGGTTTTCTGATTCCTTGAGAAGTAAACTTGAAGTTAGTCGGCTTTCTGAAGTCAAAGACATAGAATCTTCTTGAATCTGCTCTCCACAATCCCACATCGATTCCGCATCATTAATATAGTGTGTTCTATCATCTTCATCGACCATCAAGTAATCGTTTGCAGTAGAAGGATGATTTACATGATAAGCGTGAGTTACTTCTGCGCTAACAACATCTTCAAGTACAGCGTCCTCATCTTCGGGTGCTGTCAAATCAAAGTCAAAGTCGAAATCTTCATCGCCGTAAGGTACAGATGATATTTCCATGATATCTTCTGCCATCATCGAAGTTGAAGGTTAGGCGTCAATCAGGTCTTCGTAACTCAACTTATGCCATTTACAGTTTCCAGAGAAATTAAGTATTGAATGCGCGATTAACCGAATAGTAACGTGTAGGGCTGTTTATCTGAAAGACTGAGAGCTGTCCATCCTTGTCTAGACTGATTTAAAGCTATGCCGCATCAGGTTAAGCTTCAAAAACCGCATGATGTGGCTTGTAAGATACAGCTATGGGGACCATGACAAACCGTGTTATCTAAGGCTTGAACATCACATCTTGTAGCCATTGAACATCTCGAGGAAAAATGGTAACAATTTGCCACTAAATTATTGCATTATAATTAATGACTTGTCTAGGTAATTCTTGCAGCTTCAATTTGTACGAGGGGTGGCAAGGCTGTCCTCTCAAGGCAGTTTCGAGAAATGCAACGGTCACGCGTCGAGGCACTTTTAGCATCTTTTCCCAAGTTGGCAGATTCGGGGACTCAACATACGACTGTCGAGCAGGATAACGTCCGATTTGTGTACCAACCACTAGACGAGCTGTACATGGTCCTCGTCACCAATCGCCAATCAAACATCCTACAAGACATCGATTCACTTCATCTTTTTGCACAAGTTGTTACAAGCACCTGTAAATCTCTCGATGAACGAGAGATTCTTAAAAATGCATATGAACTTCTTAGTGCTTTTGACGAGCTCGTAACGTTAGGATACAGAGAAAATTTAACAATTAGCCAAATAAAAACATTTCTGGAAATGGAAAGTCACGAAGAAAGAATACAAGAGATTATCTCGCGTGTAGGTGATATCGTTGATTGTTCTTAGTAACAAATTAACTTGCTAGTAGAACAAGGAGCTCGAAGCAACAGAGGAACGTAAGCGAAAGGCGAAGCAACTTGAAATGCAACGGAAAGAGGTGTCTCGGTCGAATAGGAATGCTGCATCCCGTACGCCAGTCTTTCCAACATATACTCCGCCGGCGCGTCCGACTGTGACAGACACTTACGACTCATATGAAGCAGAAAAGAATAAACCCTCTAAGTATGCGCAGAAAAACTAGTTTATCGCATTAATTTCTAACACACTACTAGTACAAATGCACTGAAAGGCAAAGGAATGCAACTTGGCAAAAAATCTAAGACTAGTGACATGTTCGAGCGCGTTAAAGGGGAACTTGGCTCCCATATAGAGGAGGCAAATAAGTCTTTATCGCTCAACCAATCTGCCACGGAAAACATACCATCACAAGCAAGCCAAACGGCATTACTCTCAGAACATGATGCAATTCATATCACAATATCTGAAACTATCAACGCAAAGCTCTCAAGAGAAGGCACACTAAACTCACTAGAAGTAAAAGGAGACCTACAACTAAGAATATCTGACCCGACTTTGACTAAGATTAAGCTGGACACTGTAGCAAACTCAAGTTACAATGTACAATTTCGGACGCACCCTAATGTTGACAAAGGTCTCTTCAACAAATCAAAACTTATACAAATGAGCAACGCCTCAAAAGGATTCCCTGTCAATAACTCTGTTGGGGTTCTTAGATGGAGGGCTACACCCAAGGCTGATGATTTAGCAGCTATTCCTTTAACGATAACTGTCTGGGTAAATAAAGGCTCCGATGATAACTACAATATTACGGTCGAGTACGAGTCAACAGGTGGAGATGTTTTGGAGAATGTAGCAATTGTCGTTCCTTACGTCACAAGCGAACCAGTTGTTTCAAGCTTTGACGCCACGTATGAGGTAACCGGTGACAGCATTGAATGGTCAATTGGTGTAGTTGACGAACATAATCTGTCCGGCACTTTTGAGTTTGAAGCACAAGCTGGTGACGAAAATGAATTCTTTCCAATGCATGTTCGGTTTGGAAAGAAGAGTCCCTTCATTGAAGTTGATGTAGGTAATTCCACTATAGCTAGAGATATCCACTAATATCGAATAGGTTACCAACGTGACACTACTAGAAATAGAAGAGTCAGTGACTTTCTCCAAAGAAATTAAATCAGTAGCCGATACGTATATAATTGAATAAATTCACCAATAATTTTGATAAAAAGGAGTTATAAAAACGGCTTGTATAAACCGGGCAGTTATAATCACAAGATTACCAATGTTTATGAATCCTAAGTTTTACCGACTGTTTATAAGATATTTTCAGTGAGCTGCCAGTTAAATCTCAAGCCGAGACATTGATCTGAAGTCTAGCCCCGAGACAGTTTTCTATAAGGCTACCACTTTGCGATAGAGACCAAAAGATGTACCGTTCTGATCACAATCCCCAGCGGTGGAAATTATATGACGAATAAATTGTGGAGTTTTATCTGGGTTTTGCTACAGTCCATAAGAATAAATTCAGATTTTAAATTTGAAACTGCACAATGAGAAGATAAATAGGCTAATATCTGTAGATGATGCCCCTAGGGTTTTTGGCTGTGCTAGTATATGACTCTCTTTCTATAATTCATTATGACGATTATACATAAGGAATAGAAATATGCTGTGATAACGGAACCCTATATAAACCTGCTTATATATTACAGCATATAATTACTCATCCTCAGACAGTAGCAATGCGATCCCATCACAACCAACCTGTAGAGGCCTAAGGAGTAATGTGATGGCTTCCCGAAACGTCACTACCGTTGTAACAGCAGATGGGAGTCGAAAAGTTTGCCTAAATTATCTTACCTCATCAGCTCGGTAGCAGCTAAATGTCTGAAGTCATACTAAATCAACGTAGTTATATGATACTCTTGTGAAGACCTGGGTGATTAATTCTTAATGACGATTGCAGATTTCAAAAGCCTTTTGACTTGATTTAGAAACATATAGGTAGACTAGTTGGCACTGTCGAGTTGTGGAATTTTACGCTTTGCGAACGAGACCGATTAGAATAATACAAAAGAACAGCAACTTCTGTTCAATTATCTCAACAGCGAATATCAAGTGAACATACTTGGCCGGGAGCTGCAGGAACTGATAAAAGCCAGTTAGGTACCCAACCTCTCTTGAACCTTATGAACATTAAATTAACAAGAAAAATAACCTTGGTGCGAGGGTGTGATAAAGTGTTAGAGGGGTAGTGGTTTTCTTGCCTTGGATCTATAACAATCTAATGTGGACTTGGTTTTTGAACACTAAAATGTGACTAGTTATTGATTATAAAATTTTCTATGGTATTCTTAATTTTCCTGTACACCACTTTATTTATGTGTGAGAACTTGGTATCGATTCCCCTCTTGACCAAGAATAATAATACGTTGATCATCTTTTGAGAGATTGATACCATCACGTCTAACCTCTAATCTCTCAGCTACAAACTTATCGTCATGCGGTATTTTTAATGGGTTGAAAAAGCGTGTGACGTCTTCATTTGCGACCATAGTAGGTTCAGGGACCCTACCAGATAAAGTGTGCGGAGCATAATGTGGATTAAACGTTGGTGCTGCCTGGCCTTTTAAGGGCTCCAACGGGAGTTGAAGCAAATGTGGAAACCCTGATAATATTTAGATTATTTAATGATCAGCTAGGCTTATAAACGAACCATTATCTTCCCAGATAACCAATAACGAATGAGTGTTAGAAAACCTTATATCTTTAATTTTGCCAATACCAAGCTGAACGGAAAAAGATTCTGTGGTATTAACTGTGCTTTTTCCATTGTAAATCGACAATATGATTCGGATAATTTGGACTAATACAATACTAAGTAATTGATAGCTTGATGTTTTATCGATAACCTACCAGAATGCGGATTTCCTTTAGGCACGAATGCAATGTAAGACCAAAGATTGTTTGTTTCCTTCCCGCCATTATTAGCTGAGTTATGATGTAGGGTCTCAGATAATTCACATTTTTTACAAGTTGCATGTCCACAGGGCTATTTGCCTCAGGCGCACCGATTGAATGGCCTTTATTGAGTATAACATTTCTTTTTTCTTCATCTGCTATCTGGTCGAATATAGCTGAAGCTTGATGTGATAACTCTTCATAAACACATTCAATGTTGAGAATCGAATTTTTGAGGGAAAAAGCTTTCTTAGTACTTTGAAAGTGTTCATTAAGGCTTTCGCAAAATTTCTGGCTGCTATGAGAAATTTTGACTGTATCACGCTCTTCTGTTGGCGAAGGTTTTGTAAAGTGAACTTCGAGGTTGCTGTTTGTCATCATAGTTTGGAGATACAGTAAAACTTTGCAATAATTTATCGATGCCTCCTTTTCGGAGCTTTCATCGGTTATATGTGATTTATCAGAAGCGAGGCGTTCAATCTCAGATCGGAGCCATGTTGAAAAGGAAGAAAAAAGTTCAATTTCATCAATTGTGTGCATCAATATTCTGGACGAAATTAAAGATAGACAAGAAGAAAGATCCATAAGTGCCTTTATTTGCTGGCTAGTAAAACCGACTGTATGTTCGGAGTCCTGAAATTTTGCAATGCCTAGAAGTCTGCTCAAAATAGTAGAAAAACGCTCGAGGGCTGGAAGCATATTTTCGTGCACGATTCGCTTCATATTTTTGAGTCCTGTAGTGACTGCTTTATCCCATCGTCTTTGACCCTGCTCAGATTAATTAATGCAGGATACTGAGTATCTTGCTTACTCTTTCAGATAATTCGTTGACAAGCCATTCTTTGACAACAGGAAAAGTGTGCCCAGTAGCTACTGAATGATATAATGCCTGCACAATATCACCTTCATTTCTCTCCTTAAGAACTTCATTAATATTTCGAATAAATTTTTCAGGCAATTCTCTTGTGTTCCTCCACTCTATGGCCAATAAAGATTGGACCTGACGAATGTATCTTAGAAGATTCTGTAACGTCGTGGAGCGAGATGCAAGCAAAGATAAATATCTACTTGAGGCTGATATAAATCGGAGGTCCAGCGCCATAAATTTCATATCTAAGCCTTCATGGTCTTTCACAAGTAACACGTGAGTTGAGCTACTTTTGTGAGAAGCATGAAATATAAGGTATGAAGATTTCTGGCCAGTGGTCCACGTATTAAAAGACCCGATTAGAAATGTGTCGTAAATACTGATTAGCATTTTCCCACTCTTGGTGCCGACTATCATTATATCAACTACATTATTATTTCCGAGATTACGTGGACGGAAGACGGCGTCTAACGAGGATCTACTACAGAAAACATCGTTGCTGGACTGGCTTGTAAGCCTCTATTTTTTGAACGTGGTGTAGCTTACAAGTTTCCTCCAGTGGGTAAAACGCTGAGTTTTGGGAGGCTTGTCTCAATTTCGATTGAAGATAGATCTCTCGGCAAATCTAAACGGCATTGGAGATCTAATATTTCATTATCCTCAAGTACTTTCCATGGCTCAAAACTTTTCACTATATTGACAGAACTAGGTGATTGTGCAGTAAAGTTCGAAGACCATCCTATGCACGTGACTTCAGACGAGTAATCCTGCGTAGAAAATTGATGGACGATTTTCCCTCCTTCTGGACTTATAAGTTGTATAGAAGAATTACTCCAAGCAATAGCAAGAAGTTGGCCTGTATTCTGTGAGTTCTCCCATCTTGATCCCTTGAGAGTATTATACCGTCTTGCTTCCATTGGATTCTTTCGACTCGATGTTTACTTTGCTGGGAGATTCCACAAACACGTTCCCCATTGAGACGAAATATGTACACGCCTTGGTCTTTGGTAGCAAGAGCTATGAGGTCCATGGATGGACAATAACTAACAAGTCCCGGTATTATAGTTTGGTGAAGAACCTTATCACTTATAATTTGAAAATCCATGTGGAAAAGTTGTAGGAGTAATAATTTAGCCAGGACAGTAGATCAAAAGAGTTGTGAATACTGTAGAAATTGAAATCTGACGACCCAGGGAAATTAGCGACTTCAGAGAAAAACATATTTCAACTTCAAGCGCAGTAGAAAATAAGTGACGTGAAGTTTCGTAATCGTTGTCTCCACAATTACAACTTACATAAATTATTGTCGCATTGCTGGCCAGAGAAGTATGTCATTTCAGGTTTCCAATTTATTCCTAAATCTGTACAAGGGGTGAAGGTCAGTTATCAGATTATCAAATGCGCGAGAACGCCATAATAACCTGCTCACACGGAAAAGAGAAGTCCTCCAACCACCTTTTCTATTGCCACCACGGGCAACACCACACTCAGCTACATAGAACACAGATTCTAATCCCAGAGTGTTTTGGGCTCTTGCTTCAGCGGAGGGAGTTAATGCATTCAATAGCTGGGTGCGTGTCACAATATTCTTCGAAAAGGCACAACGACAAGCCTCGTTCGAGCAGAATCATAAATTGATGCAACAAATTTCTTCCTATAATCTTTGTTGTTAAAATTTATATTCATTTAGTACCATCTGCATATTATAAGATTCGTTGCACGGACGACATCCACTTACACTATAATCTTCGAGTGAAGGATGATAAAATCCTAGCTTTCATTTACTTTGTTGAGTACGCACGGAAGTGGTTTTACGTCGTAAGAGTTAACCTCGAGTGGTATCTGCAAATGAAATTTGAGTGTGAGTGGCGTAAACATTAAATTGAATCATCCTACTTTAAGTACACATCTTCTGATAAAACTTGCATGGGCCTCAAGGCGCCAAATCAGGACAATTGATCTATTTATTTATTTTATCAGGTACGTGAGGAGCTCACGCGCTGTGCGCGGGCAACACGATAAATATTATAAATATATTCGCCGGCCCTTACGTATGGATCCTCGATTTGGGTCAAGGCCGGGCCAGGTGGTAAAATACCTGAAAGGATAGTGAAACCCCTTCGAAGCATCCAAAGAAACTACTTAAAAATAGTCACAAGAGCGTAAAAGTCGACCAGCACGAGAGTGGTCGAACACGAAACTGCCACCCTACCGATAGAAATATACTTGAAGCAGCAAAGACTCCAATACGTTGGCCGCTCGAAAAACCTATTAGTTCAGAAGCTCATATAATCGGCCTGTAGTAATATCAAGCTGCCCAAACAAGGGAGAAAAGATATTCGCCCCAATAATAGGAGATTGGATCTGGCAAGCTGGGTGGAAATTTGTGGGGAAGACCTGTCACAAAAACGGCAGAAAGAGTCAGGAAAAGTCGCAGCATACCAAGAATGGGCTTAATCCTGGAAAAATCAAAGGCGGCTCCAATTACCTCGACATAATGTAATCGCCGACCCCGAAACCTGGAGAGCAGTCAAGTTCTATCAGAACCGAAAGCCGGATCCATGGAAAATAAGTCTCCAGGAATCGCCATTCTTACTCCACCGAAACCTGACGAGGACCCAAAGCAGTCTAGCGATTCAAATACGAAGTGAGCACATGGGGCTTAACTCGTATTTATATAGAAGAAAAGTACCCGGAGTCTACAGTCCAAGCTGTCCATGTAACTACCAATCGCAGAACCTCGAGCACATGACTATGTCCTGCCCTCGATGGTCAAATGGAAGAGGAGAGATCTGAAGACAAGCGAAAGATCGGTCCTACGAAGCTATGCAAAACAATCCTCGAGATACCAAAAGGATAACACAGTGGATCCTAAATCATGGCTGGGTTGTAACGGGCTTTACCCGGATTAGGACTGGTCACTAGGACCACTCCGTCTTCGAGTTTAGGCTGTGACAGAGCAACGCTCACGGAAATGTGAATGGGGCGCTAAGGAGATATTAAGGATGGCACGTACCAAATGGAAAATATGGTACAGGAGCATAGACGAGCCGGAGAAAAGGATAATTCTCAGGTGGCCAATGGAGGGAGTTAAGACTAGTCTACACAGAGCATATAACGGATGGGAGAGTACGTGGTAGATTGTTTTCCCAAGGAAGAAGTTATTAATTCCTATCGAGTTATTGTCTTTCAAGTACATCTGAATTCATTAAACCCTTATATGGATAGAGCAATTCCAGATGACAAAGGCGGTCGAAATGCTGCTGAGGGAAAGGAACAGATCATGCCTTTCTTGAGGTCGATAAAGCTGATGTGATTGGGCTATATGGAGGGCACTTTAGTGTAACTGCGCTTCTTAAATGATACATTAGAAAAAACATAGAAATTAAACAGGAAGGTTTTGGGGGTTTTCAAAAGGTTTCCAACGTAAATTAGAAATTATGATAGACACCTGCATGGGCCCATCGGGCGTCAAATCAGGATGATGAAATCAAAATCAAATATATATATTCGCAAATATTGATACAGATGATATAATAGGCAGAAAAAAGATCATCCATAGAAACACACCCTCAAATATTCACCCGAACCATAGCAGGGCCCATGGCAGTGTTGCACTTCAGATAAGAAGCGAGCACATTGGTCCCAACTCTTATCTTTATCGAAGGAAAGTCCCCGGAGTGATTAATCCAAAATGTCAGTGTGGACATCCGTCTTAAAAGGGGGACTATTCTCAACACCTGTCAGTGGTGTTCCCTACGAACCTCCAGCTCTTACTGTAGAGTCTGCAGAGCCGAGATTGAGTAACAAAGTCCTCACTTCGATGAGGATTCCCAATCGCTTTCACGGTCTGTATCGTCTTCATCTCCCAACACATTCCCCTATCACCATTATCATGAAGCTAACCACGATCAGATCAGATGGTAGGGTCGGAGCCCTACTCATCACAAACCCTTGATCATGGAGGAAATGCCATCCGATGAGTTTTCGGAGCGTACCCAGCACCCGATATGGAGATAGTGGATTGGATCAAGTCGACCTCGACTGTTACAAAGAAGGGAGATATAGATGAATATGCGCACCTCATGTGGTCTCAGTGTCTAGGACTCGCCTGGCTGGGGATGCAGGTTTTTTGAGACTTTTTCCCGTGCACGCAGTTTCCATTGCTACCATTTTTATTTTTTTGAGTAGAAGGTTCCCTGGAAAAGGTGGCTGAATTCCACGGGTAAACACTGAGCTGAATGGCTATTCATCAAGGAGAATATATCAATGATCTTTAAGGTAACAAAAGAGGTTAGGTGCACTGTACAAAGTGTAGCCTGGGTCAGAGAGAAGCCCAATGTGCTAGATAGTCATAGACTCAAGTAGTACAATAAGCAAAAACACATCCGTCTTAAAATGTCAAACATATGGTCTTGGCGTGTCCTCAATAAGCCATGAGAGGAGAAGAGGTGCTTCGAAAGGCAAAACATAGGTCCTTTACGACAATGATTCACAGCCCAGATGATACCGAGAGAATCACAAAATAGATCTTGTGATGGGCTATCACCAAAACAATAAGAACAAAGTAAGCTGGCCGTAATACAGTCTATTTTCTAATTATCTAGGAAATGGTATCTATCTAGGCTGTAGGATATATATACATGTAGCTCTGACCCCATGGAGGTTAATGCTCATCGGATCGGTGATCATCCGCATTCTTGAGGTGACCTATCGACCATTCGTATTTGTCGGATCTTTTTTTTAAATCATTTAATGTGTATTCAGCTATCTAGCTATAACACATGACTGGTGCTATGTATACATGTGGGATGACTCTCTCGACGTTAGAGACACTCATATTCTGGATTTCATTTGCAAATACCACTATGAGGTATGTTCGCTTACACAAACAGTCGACCCTCCTCTGTTAGTACCCACCAAAGGGAATTTCGAAACCTTTGGTTATCCAAGCATGCCTTAGTCATTCATGCATACCAGCGCCGCGAGAAATGTGGTTGTGATTTGCTGGATTTGAACCAGCGATCTACTGTCTCGAGTGGGATATGTGTCCAAGCTATCCAGACTCTACTTGGCAGACCGGTCAAGACAATGTACCACCGCACCATCCAAACATAGCAGTTTTTACAGTGTCGCCTGCACCCTCACAGCCGAAGCCTTGGCACGCACAAAGCTCAATTTGTAAAAACTCCTTTCCAATATTCAAAATTCCACGCCCGTCGAGACTGTATCCATCCTTCGCATCATCTTGTCAACTTGTCCTGATTCCTCTCACATCCATCCCAAAAAAACAGTCTCCCAGATTTGTGCGCCACGCTTTGCTTCCTCCGTCGGGTGTAAATATCGGCGTGGGCGTGTATCTAGCGACCAGCTAAGGGCAGAGAAAGTCGACAAGAGGTGTGGTCATTGGAATGAGGATGTACTAGGTCGTACTTGTAAACTTGATGAGGCTTAGGTAGGAATCGATTTCGTTGGGAGTGAAAGATTGATATTGTGGAGTATTTTGAATCATTGCCTCGTGGGCCAACTTGTTCGGTATTGCGAAGTTTGACTGAACTTAGCTCTGGGAGAATGTTTTACTCCCAGGTTCGTAGTGGACACAGCATACAGGTGTTCAGTCTTGCCCTCCTATTTGTCGGATCGGCGATCACTTATAATCCTAAAATAGAACATCGGCGATTAGTAGACATATAGGCACAAGTACATAGATGTTTGTTTGTTTGTTGTTTGTTTGTTCATTAACGTGCTAGGTGAAGTAACTACCGCCGCACTCCTACTGGAGCTTGAGCACGAGTGGGGTCGGGCCGGATCAGGTTAACTACTGTGCAGTACAAATGCCTCGTCCCACCTAAATGACCGGAACCATGCCAAAATGTATCTATGTGTTGGACCATGACAAATTCGGCAGCCCAGAATTGAAAACAAAACAAAAACTTTCCCGCGAAATCCCGCATTACAAAAGAAAAACTTCAACAATCTCCCTTCCACTGTTCCGCCTCAGCCACCACGCGCCTGAGCCTCGAATCTAATCTCTCTGTCCATGCCAAACCACCTAGGCCTTTGATCTATCACCTCAGAGTCACAGGTATCCCTGCCATCCCCCTA